TTAAATTTAACAGTTGCGTAGAAGTGAGTATGTATCTGATCGATTGGTGATAAAATTATTGAAATTGCTCCAGGGGCAGCTGAGTTATTAACGTTCAAAATCTTTCATAATTTTGTTACATGTTCCATTTTCGGTTTTCACAAAGTGTACCCTCATATAGAAATCACAGACGTATACTAAAAATACTTCTAGTAAAATTTTCGTTTACGAATGTATACCATCAATGAAAATCATGGAATCGTGAACATTATTCTGCAAACTAAACGTAACGCCTGCGTTACGGTGCACTGGGCACCAGCAAAGGCAATAAAAGTCATAGAAACGTGAACTCAGTTCTGATAACCATGATTTTCAGTTCTGGTAAACGTGATTTAAGTTCTTGAGTTGTGTTTGATCACAAAAATGGGATCATGGTTCATGGTCTATAAAATGTCTACAATAATATTATTTTCAGTGATTTGACCATAGATAAATCAGTGGACTACTGCCGCTAGCTTTCCTGGATCCACTTTTAACAACATCAACTACTGCTGCTGAAGCACGACGAGGATAGATCAGAACCTGCAGAAGTGGTCATCGATATAGATAAATAAGTGGTAGCATCACTGTGCAGTGTAAGACGAAGTTAGTCCCAAGAAAAAGAATCCAGACGACATGAGATCGTACTCGCTAGCGCCTAAATTGGCTGCACTGGAGTCAGTCAGCTCCACTATTCACTTTTGAGCTAGACGAGGTGGCCGCCGTAGTTATGCTGGATCGTAATACTCTGCAGTTTTCACCGGCTGCGTCGACTGGCGCCGCTATTAGGGATAGAAGTCGGTATTTTCGGTACTCTTCGTGTTTTTGTTATAGAATCAAATATAGAAGGCCATAAGCATCCAAATGTGTTTCAAAGTGAGTGAGATTGATAGATGAAGAATGCTATGTTAATTGTATATGTGTTGCTTCGAATTTGAGACCTTACGAGCTGCAATGCCGACCCGAATACAAAAAAATATCGGAATCCGGTATTTTCGGTATTCGGATCCGTATTGGAATCCGTGAGCCTCTGGGTTCGAAGAAAAATAGATCGAATTGACATAGCATACCTGATCTATCAATCTCACTAACTTTGAAACAAATTTGGTTGTTTAAAACCTTTAAGATTTGATTCTATAGCAAACACCCGAACAGTACCTAAAATACCAGTTTCCATCACTAGCCGTTATCGTCATGACCGCTGAAAATACTGCCGCCCACAGCTGGACGTCCATAATTGAAAAAAGCACTTTTCGTGTATAGGGTGTCCCAGAATGTCTAAGCACAACTTTGGAACACCACTGCTTGTTTCAGATGACGTTTAAACAGCTGAATCATTGTCGTTTTTTTTTTGCGTGTACGAGTTTTTATCTCGAATACCAGAATATGTCAATTCCTTGCCCGAAGGCAGTTTGTGTTCTACAAAGTCCGGTCGCCAATGAAATCAAGAGTTTTGAGTTTGAGTGCGGAGAATTTTCATTGTCGTTGAAAGTGTTCACACTCAAAAGATTTTCAAATGTAAATCGATTAAATGCTACGCTAAATCGCAACTCTCCTGACCGACGCATAAGTTGGTATTAAGAGAGAGAATACATACTAAGTACAAAAGCAGTTTATACATAGATAGTATAAACTGCATTTATTCTTCCAATGTAAACCTGGCCTTTATTTGTGATTAAATTTTGCTGTCCCTTTCTTTTGCTTTTTTTGTTTTATAACTCAATAAAAAAACATATATGGAAAAGATTTGTATTTCCTCTAAAGTTGGAGTAGAAACTGCATAAATCAACGTCTGAATGGTGAATGGCAATGATCCATAGCAAAGGTAGGAATTCGGGGAACACAATGGCCACCCCAGACAGATGGTACAACTAGTGGTGCAATCCTCCGTGCAGAAGTCCCGTTGATGGAATATTGGTGGTGAGACGAAGAATCCGTTTTGGCTATCTTGCACTCGTACCCCAACTATTGTGACTTTGGGACAAATTTGTGTACACCCAATCTCCGTCCATGCAGTGAGTACAAGCACAAGTTACTCCCGTCGAGACAATGCTGGTCTTCTCGTGAGCTGCCTCATATTGGTCAGCTTTTGCATCATTCGCTGTGTGGGAGGAATATTTAATAAACAAAATTGAACATTATAATTTGCTCGTAAACGACTTACGTGTGTTGCAGTTAGGCTTGACTGGCAACGTTGACCTCTTCTAGGCAATCAGGCTGAAGTCCTCGCATATTTCCAGATTTCATTCAAAGGAACTTCAGCCAGTTCCACCTGCAAACCGTGATTAACCTTCACTATGTTGTCGACTCGCTTCCCAACTTTGCTTGTCGCACCGGAATTCACATCGTGATGGGTCTTGATTCGGACATTCCTTCGTACAAATCAAATCAACGATACTCATTCACAATAATCAATATCCCAATAAACACTAGATTATTTGTTTTTGTTTTACTGAACTATTTAGTTGGAGTTAAAATAACGAAAATGAGGATAACAGACTTTTTACCTAACGGAATCACCAAGTGAGCTTGTTATAAACGTCAGAAAAATCAATACAGTAAACGATTTTCGCTCTGTTATTCGGAGTTAGCATAATTTTGAAGAGAAATTTTAATCGGAACAATGTATAAAAGATGCATAACCATAAAATGTTTAAATTTTAATCTATCATTGTTTAGTAATATTTTTGAGTGCACGTGATAGTTTTTCCCTGAATTGTTTTCCGTACTGAGTACCAATTCTACTAACGCCAGGGAGGCAGCTCTCACACCTCACAGCCCTCATCCTACCTATCGACCCAACAACTCATAGACCGGGGACCAACGGCTTTACTTCCCTGATCAGAGATGTTATGCCTCAGAACATCCCGGCGGCGCCGACTGGGATTGGACCCAGGCCTGCTGAGGTGAGAGGTAATCACGCTTACCACTACACCACCGGCACCGCTAATATTATTGTTATCTAGGTATTTATGAACGTAGATGCTTGTTCATTTTGACGGCTCCATGTATTTATTTTGTTAAAGTCACTTAATTCCGTTACAAATTTAGGTGATAACAAAAACTACACTACATGTTTTGTAATTGACAGCATTGTTACTACTCGGGGGCGACCCCGGCGTTGTGGTTAGCATCCATACCTCTCACGCCAAAGTCACGAGTTCAAATCTCACCCCGGATAAGTCACAATTGAGCGTTAAAGTGATTAACAAAAATAAAAGCATTGTTATTACTGTAAAACGGGGTAACATTGATAGTTTTTTAAAGTATGTTCTTTTTACAGTAATGAATGTTTTTCAAGTTTTATATTTTTAAAATAAGTACTGAGGATCCAAGAGTTAATTCGTTAGTAATATGTTTAAAGGAAATTAAAGCATTTACACTATTTTTTTTAGTTTTGTGACCGAACTTCAGTATTTTGATTTGGGGTTACTTTGATAATGCTCGATGAATGTAAAAAAAAATGGGTGAAACTCAAACAATTTAGATCTTAAAATATGAAACTTTGAATGAGTAAATAATCAGGAAACCTTATAAGCAATAAGAATACACCATTGAATTTGTGATGGCTATATCAGAAATACATTTCATAAGTGATGGTTTGAGTGCTTTTTAAAACAGGCGAAAAACACGAAAGTTGTGTTTTAATATGTTTGTAAAATATGTTAAACATACTATATAAAAACTATATACACTATCAACGGAAATACCCTAAGCTACAATATGGGACCAATTTTTCTAATTTGGAAAAAGCGCAGCGAGTAAATTTAATCTTTCTATTATACTATCAAAGTTACCCGCATTATCAAAGATACCCCGTTTCATAACATCTCTGATCACGCCTTCCTTCGGATGGGAAGTAAAGCCGTTGGTCCCCGGTTCATGAGTTGATGGGTCGATAGGTAGGGTCCAGGTGTGGGAGCTGCCTTCCTGGCACGTCGGTAGCATTGGTGCTCAGCACGGAAAACAAGATCGACGGAAAAAAAAACAAACCAAAGGAAAAAAAAAAAAAAAAAAAGATACCCCGTTTTACGGTACTGAAAATTGACATGATTTCGCTTGAAGATGATGTTTATCTCGAGTGAGTGACGAAAGCTGTTTTGTCAGTATCACCGTGTATGGTCGATATTTTGCATCTCTGGTTTGAGCTGCATCTCCATGGTGGACAGACACTCAGTGAGGATAACTGGCACCGAGGTGACTCTGCTAAAAGTTCTCTGAATGCTACAGATATCAGATCGCGGCATATGATTGTTGCATAGGCCTCTGGGCGGCCATGTATTGTGACGTCCTGCAGAACGGCAAAAAAGCCATTGTCTGCTACGAACAAGGCTCTGGATACATCCAATCGAGTTCGCAGAGTCTTCAAAACGATAAACTAATAGTGGCTATCTTGGTAACTAGGTCGGTATTTCTTCAGCCAGAAATTCATTATGGAAAAGAGAGCACCACTATCCTCTTAAAACTTAATATGTACTTTCTGTGTATTCGATTCTGGCTTCATGCACAACACATTTTCATAAAAATGCAGGTAAATTTGGCAGTTGCATTGAGTTATAACAAAAAAGATACGAATGAACTCAAGTTATAAAAAAAAACGAATTATTAAACTGTTGAAAATTAATGAGCTGTGGAAAGTATGAAAAAAAAATATCTAAGTTTATATGCAAAGCAATTGTTTGTTGATCGTGTTTGAAGATTCTGTATTTCTGCAGATAATAAACTTTGTTACTCGGAATACAATATGTGAAATTTTAGAGTTGTTTTTACTAAAAATAACCAATTTTATGTACATATATTTTCCTTCTTTCATGGCTGAAGACTGTAATTCAGAATAGGTTTAATCGCTTTCTTGAACAAAGCACATACCTGACTGAAGGAATGCATCCAGTGATATCAATCCCAAAAGCGTTGCATAAATTTAAATCACATAGAAATAGTGATTTTCATGTTAAAGTCTATAACAGTATCTCTTGTTCCAGGTGGTGCTTAGCGGAATGATGAAACTGTCGTTGGTGAAATTGGATGACAGCGTAAACAAACCTGCTGGCGGTAACTATGGCATGGTGCTCCAAATGAACAATCACAAATCTCATCAATCTCAATGTCCTATTCCAGATGTCGTACTGAAAGCAAAGGATGTCAAAAAGGGTGACACCTTTGGCGCATTCGGTCCAAACGAAGAGTAGTGCATCGAGAAGTTCGATAGCGTTCCAGCGAAGGAAGCCTAAGAATCAGCAACAATTGATATACCTAACTATGCAAACATGACACAATGATTGCACGAGCTCATATTTTTCTAAAAAAAAAAACACAAGTTACATAGAAAGGGTTATACTACAGGTACTATAGTAATCCTGTTTCTATTTTGACTGAAAAGGGCAGGCAGGTGAATAATCAAGCAAATAAAATAACGAAAGCGTGACAATTTGGACACAAGCGGCCAAATATAAATTTAATTTGCTTCCATGTTGTATAAGTTGCACCCTAGCTTTCTGTACATAATTTAGTAACTCACACACAAATCGGCTCAAATTTAGGACTTCTTTGGTCCAACCAAAACTTCAGCTCAGATATATACAAGAAATGTATGCTCACCAACGAACACAAAATTCTAAACTTATTTATTCATTGTTACATTCGATGTGTAGTAAACTTGCATGCGTTTGTAATTGTTACGAAACTAGTACAGTTCAACAATATTTCGAAGGCAAAAATCGTCCACTGCGCAGCTTATTAATGGTTACTTTTATATCATCAGTTGTTACCAGCAGTCTGTTATCTTGCTTAAGTTGGTCAATAGTATAATTTAGCTCTTATTTATATATCCGAAAACAATAGTATTTTTGTATCATCCGCATCATAATCAGGTTACACATGCATTGGTTTAGATTTTGTTATTGTTTTAGACAATTTTATAGCCCGGGCATCCGTTTGAACAGTCCTCTTATACATTGTTACCATTATATAGCAGATATTCTGCCCACAAAAAAAGAACAAAAATAGTTGTCGGATTTAACTGAATGGTATAGTAAAGAAGAATCGCAATACAGTTATAACGTGCAGCCAAACTATTGTAACAGCGAAATTGATAAAATAAAAGTGATCAAGTTAAAGTTTGCATTATTGTGTGTTTATTTTAAAGCTAATATCCCATTCTTACAGCACCCACTGTCGAACAATCCTTATTCATTTACATTGAGTCCACCGTTGTGAGCTTGAGCTTGAGCTGGTGATCTTAAATTAGGCAATACCAGCGCCGGCCGCGCCCGAACACAGGTCAAGAAAGGAATGGGAAGGATTGTGTTGACATGACACTCGCTTTGATGGAAGCCGAGAACACCTCTGCACTTCCACGAGGAATCACTGGGATGTTGGATAAGAGGGTTGCGTTTGCAGCAGGGTTCGTTTTGGTAAACGATAAGCTGAATTGATTTCCTAACGATCATATAACGCGAAGGAGCTTGGGACTAAACCCACGGTCTTCTGCTCAGTAAGCAAAAACGTTTGCCACTAGGCAGACGAGCACCTTTTTAATCACCGAGTTGCTGTTATTACCATGTAGTCATATTAACAAATAAAACGATTGACGAATCTTGAATAAGGATGGGCCTGAGATTAGACTCATGATGTTCTGCTCAGTAAGCAAAAACGGTTGCTCTAAGGCCACCGAGCCCCTCATATCACATAATACCGTTGCTCAAATTTGTGTATCCATTCAAACCCGGAACCAACGACAACAACGAGTTTCGCAAAATACACGATACACAAGCGATTTTACCATAAATCTCTTTGATATGTAAGGACCTGGGACCGCGTTTTTCTGCTCAGTAAGCAGGCCACTGTAACCGACGATCTTCCAAATCCGAAAACTAAAAACTACGAAAAAGTACTTAGGCCTTTATTAAGTTCCACTTTCACGTGACGTTCAATGACAGGGTCCTATCCAGGATTACATCTGAAAAATCCAAATCTGGCCAACGCCCACCTAAACCTGTTCTAATCCACCTGAAATGACTAACGAATGGAAGACCCAGCCATGCAATAGTCTCATTCCGTGCCTTATGGCAACTTGATGATTCTATTGCGCTCATCTTTTGGCACCACCCAGGGGAGACTTGGTCCTGTACCCAATGCTTAACTTATCTCCATTCCACTCAGCTACTCGCAATTTCTTGTGATATAGTGGACGGAATATTATTATATGAGACAATTCAATGCAGACGTCTTTCCAAATTTGGCAGATCGACAGGTAATCGGTGAGTTACCACGATAGTTGCTATTCAAAAACTCGACAACGTCCCATCGTCAACGCCTGCTATGAGAATTTCCCATTGCAGACGTCAACGAAATGACGTCATCGAGCTATCGATCAACTACCCTGGTTATCGTCTGGTACCTTATAGCACGATGCTAGGAGGCGAACCGGAAGAATCGATGAGCTACCTCTCCCCCTTACATTGAGTCCACCGTTGTGTCGTAAAAACAGTAACAATTTGATATCTATTTGATGCAATAAAATAAATATCAATTTTTCTATCCGTCGATTGGTCGTGCAATTATTTTCTTCAAAATTTTCCGTAGAAAACTATTGAAGTACTTTAATATAGATTATGATTTACATTTGCTCTGGCTGTTTGTAACATGTAAGCTATATGGCTCGACTCAATCAGTAGAATCTGTGGGGTGCGCAAGAGGAGTACCAGATAAAATTGCCAACCTTATTGAAGCGAAGTATGAGCCTTTCACGTGCAGAGTTCAACCTTATCTGCTTCTGTCCAGGGAGCCGCTGGCGAAAAGCAAATATGTGTACTATCTTTGCTACTGTTCCTCATCGTAAACGACGAGGCCATGGTTGTAAGACAAAAGGTCCAAAGACAAAAGGTCCAAAGACAAAAGGTCCAAAGACAAATGGTCAAAGGGCCAAAGTTCGAAGGACAAAAGATTGAAGGACAAAAGATCAAAGGAGAAATGGTCGAAGGGCAAAAGGTTGAAAGAACAAATGGTCGACGGGACAAAAAGTCGAACCATAAAACACACTAAAGAACAAAAGGTCGAAGAGATTAAAGATCAAAGGGACAAAAAGATGAAAACGCAATGCACAGAGTAAAGAGTAGCAAACCAAACTAAGGTGCAATATGAGCTATTTAACTGAAATTTTCTAATAATGTATCTTTTTTTTTAAACTACCGAACAATTCACTAAAAAACTCGAAAGACTTTTCTCAATCTTGGAGATGTTTCCTACAAAAGCTTTTGAATAATCCTCGCCCTTGAAGCTACTCCTTCTTTATAACATGTGTTATTCTTTGGTACATAAAAGCTATTGAACAATCCATCTTAAAGTACCCTTAATTATTTTCTCACTCTTGGAGATTACTCCTCGTTGAACAGACAAAATCCATCCTAATTATTGAACATTTATTTTGTATTGTTTTAATGTTTATTTCAACCCTTCTTCATAATACGAGAATATAAATAGAGAGAGAAGGATTAACAATTTCCATTTAATTCCACTTAATTGCCTATCCTGTAGGACCAGGTACTCCGCTGCTTACTCGTTGATGTGCCCTAGGTAGTAACTTGAAAAACCATGTGTGTCCGTTTCCTTGATCGCTGTTGAGTAAAGTTGAATTCCGTTTTTTGTTGATCTCGAGGCTCTCTGCAACATCCAATTTCCATGGGGATTTTGGAGGCGAACCAGCCTAAGGCTGAAAGCCTCCTTAATAAAGCTAAATAATAATAATAATTCCATGGTGTAGATACTGTTCGTAAAATCGTGATGTCCTCCGTCGATAGTTGGTGGTCCTCTATGAAAATGTGTACTGTAACCTTTGATTTGAAATCATATGTTCCTCTTGTTTTTGGCCTTGTATGTTCTTTAAATCTAGTTGCTAATGTTCTCTTGGTTTGGCCTACGTATACTTTGTTACAATAACTACAGCTTATTTTATATACACCTGCTTACCTAAAACATTAACTGGGTCTTTAGTGAACCCTAACAATGATTTCAACTGGTTATGTATACTGGTGAAAACTAAATCTAATCCGAATTGTTTTAACTGTTGTCTTAGTTTACAAGTAATATCTTGATCAAATGGAACGGACACTCGTTTCAAGGGTTCAGGTGCTGCGGTGAGGGTTGTAAATAATCTCCTTTGTAGAATTTTCGCGAGTTTATCGATGATTGCCTGGATTATGGTCTCATTGTATCTGTTTAGTCTTACTGTTTCGAAGATGTACTGTAATTCCTTAACCTTTTCATGTATCGCTGAGTGGAAGAGTCTGCATCCGATGAATCATGTGATGGAAGGCGGCCATTTTCTGCTGGAACGAATGGTTGGAAGTATAGGGGATAACTCTTTTGGTGCTTGTTGGTTTCCTGTAAATTTCGTATTCAAGTGAAGAAAATGATGACGATTCCCTGATGACGAGAAGATCGAGAAATGCGAGTTTCCCGCCTTTTCTACCTCGTGAGTGAATTTGATATCCTTGTGAATTCTGCTGATCTTGGTAATAGTCCTTTCTCCTTCTGGATTGCCTCCAAGTTGGCCATGAAAAGGAGGGGGCGGGATAGGGGGTTTCCCATTGGGGCTCCTTTCGTCTGCTTGTAGAAGTTACCTCGGAAAGAGAAGTAGTTCTCTTTCATACAAAGGCTGACCCAGCTTAAGGTACGTCTGAACCTTGTTTCTCCATGCTGCATTCTCTCGTTGTTTTAATAGCCACTCGCTTCCTTGACCGGTATGCTGGGAAAAAGAGCTGTGACGTCGAAAGATACCATAATCTGGTCCTCGTTGATGTCTCCTGAAGATTGTAGTTGCTGGGCGAACTCCTGGGTGTTACTAACTGCTTTACTCTGGAACTAATTCGGCATACTCTGGAACTCTGTGACTAGTCACTTCGCTAGTTTGTGGGTGGGAGAACCAACTGCAGACACGATCTCTCACATTTTATTCCCCGGTTTGTGGACTTTGGGGAGACTTTTGATTCTGGGTAGAATGGGATTGGATTCCCGTAAATGACCTGCTCCATCTCCTAATATTGATTTACACTCCTTCAGTGCTTTCGCCACGTGTTTCACTATGTTCTGTAATGGGTATACGAAGCTGTCTAAAAGGTCCATTGTTAATCTTCGTTGTGATCTGATTGTCGTAATCGTCCTTGTCCATGATAACGACCGCGTTGCCCTTGTGTGCTTTCACATAGTATACTGCTTTACTTTATTAATTGAGTTTTTGTCTAGGGCGAAGGTAGCAGAGGAGTTCGAATCGGATAGGAAACGGAAGCAGTGTTCGGAAAATCATTCTCAAATCTCATTCATTGAGCTTCCTTGCGAGAATAAAGTCGCGTGGAATGTGGCAAACAAAATTTGCGCCTGAGATTCTCATACATATTTACACACTCACACTCACAACACCGAAAAATCATTCCAGGTTTAAACTTATAAAAAACCACTCAAACCTCAATAGACAGCATCCTTATTTAACCTGAAAACTCATTGGTGATTTTTGCGACGTTGAATATTGCAAGGCAAAGCTCATAGGTGCATAAACTCATGCATGAGATTTGAGTTTTTCCGAACACTGTTCATGTTACTTTTCGAAACTCCCAAAACTTTGGAACATCTTGAGTTACCGTAGCCTCAGAAATACACCTTCATCATTATTGGAACTGCGAGAGACTTCAAGAATTTGATGCTCTATAAACTACAATAACTTCCAAAGCTAGCGGCGCCGGTGGTGTAGTGGAAAGCGTGATTATCTCTCACCCCAGTCGGCGCCACCGGGATGTTCTGAGGCATAGCATCTCTGATCGGAAGTAAAGCCGTTGATGAGTCGATAGGTAGGGTCCAGGTGTGGGAGCTGCCTCCCTAGCGTCGGTAGCATTGGTGCTCAGCACGGAAAACAAGATCGACGGAAATCAAATCAAGGAAAAAAAAAAACTTCCAAAGCTCTTCGGAGGACCCTGATCTCTGATCCTGAAGTTTTGAAGACTCTGGGAGACTGCTTACGATCCGGAAGTGTCAATTTTTCGGAGTTTACTTACATCCGTAAAAGTGACTAGCTGACCCTCCTGATTCTCAGAAATTTGGACGAAAACACTTGTAGTTAAAAATAATAAATTGTT